CGGACGCCCCAATCGTCGCAAAGCGAGTGCGGCGATTGGGGCAGCTCCGTATAGCGATCCCCAAAAAGGGATCGCTATACGGATTCTTCGTTATACAGTGCGCTCGTTAAGCGAGGCACCACTGTATTAGTTTTTCTGGTTATGTGCTTTTTCTTGTTTGTGTGACAAGACAAAAGAATACCAACTCTGGTAATCTCCAGTTTAAATTACTGCAATACATTATATGTAAATACCATGTAAAACATATTTTCAGTCCAACCGCTTTGAAAAGCTTAATTTCATATTACTTTACATTAGTACAGTAGCTATGATCATCTCTCCTCTTTTTATCCACTCAAGATAAACAAAACTACTGCTTATCCAACAAATGGGAGGAATTCTGCTGTGGATCTTGTCTCCTTCCATGGGTTTAGGAAGTGCAATGAATGAATTATTCATGGTTCTATTGTATTTGCTTCGTGTTTTTAAACTGTGAGATGTAATTTTAAGTACCTAGTGAATAGGAATAGTAACACCTAGGATATATATTTAAAGATTAATTGTATTATCTATAAAAATTATGAACTAGTCTGACTGCTGAATATGACAAAATTATTTATGACTATTTCCAGTATCAGCTCTTGTTTTCTACTAAGATGAAAGGAAGGCATACCCTGTCAAATACAGGCTCAGGACAGGAGCGTTTTAGTTTCTAGGATTACCACATGTACAATTAATTTTAAATACAGACTTCTGTAAGTGTACAGCAGTGATTGTATTTGCAGTAGAGATGGGTGACATTAATAAAGGTCCAGCCCCATGGGACCGGACAGTCCACTCACTGATCCACCGCAGACACAGACCACGTGATTCTACCAATGGATCTGCAGTGGGCGATCCGCTCGCCACTCCTGGGAGGAGGCGAGAGGAGAAGCCTTGCTGCAAGGTTGAAGAATGGCGAGTGGATCCACTGGCACAATCGTGCAGTCCCATGGGGCTGGACCCTCATTAATGCCACCTGTGAGGGGGTTATTCGTATTTGTATACAAATTAAAATACCCCCATCTCTAATTTGCAGCATATAGAGGAGATGTAGTCTTGGGTTTTATGGGCTACAAGCAGAGCCAAACAACTCATCTTACCAGTAAGAACACTTGACATTTCAAATTTAGCCATGCTCATTTTGCTGGTTGTTGGCTTTATTTCCGAATAAAAGGGCACTACGGTTCAATCATCCATAATCCGAAGCTTATGCTACATGATAAATTTAATTGATAAAACATTTGTTTCTTTATAGGTAACTCAAACAAAGCCACTTCCAAAATAACCCTAGAAAGTTATCCCTGCACAGAATTCTGCTCTGACTCTTTTTACTTTCACCTTTCACATGAAATTTTACACTTCCAAGGGATCTGAAATTCTAATTGACAAGGGTAAACACTTAACAACCAAACAGAAACATTCAGAAATTAAGACATTCAGAAAGTAAATTATAGTTATGTACCATTGTGCAGTACTCCCCAAGAGAATGTGTTAGTGCAGGTTTCTTGGAATCACAAAATATTTCCATACCTATATGACTCTGGAACATAAGCTCAAATAGCCTAGAACTAGCATTCTTAGATACATAACTTATAATCATGTTTAAATTATATTTTATCACTTTTGAGGGTTTTCCTGTCCCTTGGCTTCATTTTTGTTCCTGTTTAGCAAGGAAGATCTCTAAAACTAGCTCTGGAACTGGTGCATATACAGATTATAGAAGTTCTTCCCCCTCTTTTTTTTCTTCTATTTTTACTTCTGTTATTGACGCACACTGCTAATTGGCTCAGTGGTTTGGTCTCTAGCTGGTGAGCCAGAGCTTCAGAGTTTGATTCTGCACTGTGCCTCCTTGACAAGGGTGGACTTGATGATATAAAATGATGATGATGATGATCACTATCATCATCATCATCATCATCACTGATACGCACCATACCATGAGCATTCATCATTTACTGTGTGCCTTAGTGTTTGTACATTTTTGTACTTAAACTCGGAATACTCACAGAATTTTCCGCATCAATATTTCCTTCTGGGTGTTGAGTCTTGTGAAAAGCACCACCAGCACAAGATGCTGTTCTTTTACCTTTCTGATTTCTGGATTCTGCAGATCTGAACTATGCTTCAATGATCAGACAATCACATTAAGAATATTTTCTGTACCATGTTTCATCAATATATACATGTGAAAAGCACAACAATAGGGGTGGAAAAGAAAACTATAATGAATAGAAGAAAACTAAATTTACAGAGAGTTCTACACCTGCACAAAGGTCTACAGAATCCGGAAATCTGAAGGGTAAAACAGCAGCATCCCATGGTGTTGGTGCTCCTCCTCACCAGATTGAAGCCTCAACATCCAGAAGGAAATACTGATGAAGTAAATTTTATAAGTATTCATACTTTAAATACAAAAATGTACAAACACTAAAGCAAACAACAGTAATATTATTTGATGAATGATCATGCTTTGTTGTGGATGTTTTTCTTAAAATCTCTGCAACTTTAATTATGACCTACTCCTAGGTCATAAACCTATTTATGACCTGCTTAGCATATTAGGAGAAGGCAAAGCATTCCTGGCAAATGGGGGAGAGAATGCAGTCTTCCATCCTTTACTGAGCTGCCACTCACAGTATTTGTCATCTATAGTTATGCTGATCAAGATGCATATGAACTTAGTCAAGAACATTTGGAGGACCACCATGTTTTGCACCTAAACAACATAGAATATAATACCCAGAAGCAGCCTCTGGGAGTGAAGACTTCATGTATTACTTCACTTATTCCATGTGACATTCTAGCAATGTAATAGGATATACAGTTTGAAATTTGCAGCCAAACTGGAGCAAGTCATTCTACAATCAGAGCAGAGTCGTCTTCCTGTCCTCAGTATGATGGTGCGGTAAGGCCTCTGATAGTAAAATGCTTTAAAGATCTAGTCATGAAGAACTGTGCTCTTTCTTTCATTTCCTGTCCTTCTGCTGTCAAACAAGCAGAATACTAACTCTCCCCTCCAACTCCTCAAACCCAGAAACGAAGCTATTCTTTCCTGCCAACAACTGAAACTGACAATTTGTGTGTGTTTGTGTTTGCGTGTGTGGGGGAGAGAGAGAGTTTGAGAGAGAGAATTCACTCCAGTATTTAGTTAAGTTCAGTTCACTCTGAGTTAGAGGCAGAAAGAACTAGGAAAGGGGAAGTCAGAGTCTCAGAGAGACTGCAAATAATGAGACAAGAAAGATAGCTGTGAAATAAGTTTGCAGAGCTGTGCTATTAGAAAGTATTTTGTTTTTGTGAAGAAGCTGTGAAAATCTAATGTATGTTCTTATTGGAACTTGTGTAAATCCCAGAATCTATATAGACATATATAAAAATTAAATGTTTAAACTATAAAAAGGAGAGAAGTAAAGAAAAAAATCAGGTGTATAAATACTTAACTGCTTGTGATATAGAACCTTTTTTTTTTTAACTTTTTTGTTTATACATCCTGTTTGCTTAAATTAGCAGTCACAAAATATTACACCAGGCAGTCTGGTGGTCAATCCTTGGACAGACAGTTGAAGCTATGTCACCAAAATAACATTGGCTGGGTCTTTCACCAACAGTGTTCTTACGTTTTAAAACAGGGCAATATAAATCCAGCTCTTAGCTGCAGCAGTGTTTAAGAAGGAACAAAAAGGGATTATGAATGTTTTCCTGATTTTGGTAAAAGGGATATGCAGGGGAAGGAATGCCTACTACAAGTTAGAGAGCAATCACAGACTTAGGAAAAGGGTTTGGGGCTTGCTGTTATTTTGTGGCAGCATACACTGGGCAGAGGAAGGTTGGGTGAGTTTATGCCAGGATCAAAGATGTTTATGCCAGGATCAAAGACAAGGTGACATACCAAAGGAAGCATGAGCATAGGCACACCTGTCCAAGTGCTAGAGCTGTATGAT